ACATCCCCCAATGAAAAGCAGAGGTGTCACTAGCACGTTAAGAGACAATATAATAAGTGTCAGGGGCCCGAGACTGTTCAACTGCCTCCCAGCATACATAAGGGGGATTACCAAAAGACCCCTGGCTGTCTTCAAGCAGGCACTGGACAAGCACCTAAAGTCGGTACCTGACCAGCCAGGCTGTGGCTCGTACATTGGATTGCATGCAGCCAGCAGTAACAGCCTGGTTGATCAGGCCCTGATCCACCATGAGGCCTGGTCACAGACCGGGCCGCGGGGGTGTTGACCCCCGGAACTCTCTCCAGGTAAACTGCAAATCACCCAGAACAAAATGGTAAGATTCAGCCTGGACCTGGGTCCAAGAAGACATGTAGGCCAGGATGAATTACAACAATTGGATATGCTGAATGCTGAAGACAGAGTAAAACAACTGAAGTTAAATCAACATTGTAAAATTGCTCAGTGTCCAGAATATCTTGCTGCAAATTTTGTCAAGGATGGGAGCCAAACTTTGTAGTACCCACAGCCAGTGGCCAGGCTTCAAACACCTTATATTGTACAGCAATAAAGGAATGGAACAGACTGCCTGCACATGTCAAAACCAGTCATAGCATGAGCCAGTTCAAGAAGAGAGCCAAAAGGTACCTAATGAATGTAATGACAGAAAGGGAGGAGAATGATTTTTTTTAGCTAACACACATGTAAATATAAATAACTCATTTTACCTTATTCCTAGTATATCTCCTTCATAGTATAATAATAAAATATTATCTCCGTTATAGTGTAATAATAAGGTATTAAAAGGACCCCAACGGAAATAAGTCACTGACTTTTTTTTGGGTTATCCTAGTTTATACCTGAATAAACTTGCTTATTAACCATTGTCGAGAAGGACTATATCAGGGCATGGAGAAGGGGACGCAGTTATGTTTGATCCAAGGAAAAGATACACCCATTTTCTTGGATCAAGAGTTCCCCTCACCGTCATCAAGTTACTTCCCATGAGAAGAACAATTTATTGCTTTTTAAAAAGCCGTGTTGTGACTGATACGCTATGAACTGAAAACTCTTGTAGATCTGGGTAACCGAACAGTGCGGTGCAACTAATTTTAATAATAAAATTTGTGATGAGTGTGCTATGTAAGCTAAACATATCTCTGAGAAAGGAAAAAAAAAAACATTATTTGGGCTACTAGCAGCGAAAAGTTATTAACCCCATGAAAGGCACTGGTGGCTAACACTCTCGCTTCACACGGCGATAGCCTGGGTTCGATTCCCAGCCGGAGTAAAAACATTGGGCGTGTTTCTTTCCACCTGCTGTCTATGTTCCCCATCAGTAAAATGGGTACCTGGGTGTTAGTCGACTGGTGTGGGTCGCATCGTGGGACACTGGCCTAATTTGGAGTCCTTCCTGTTCTTTCCTAGGATGCGATCAACAAAGGTTGGCTAACACTTAGGTACCTATGTGCTGCTAAGTGATCATGGGCAGCGGGTGTGAACAACATTCCAGTACATCACACACCTCACAGCCTCTCATTTTACGCTGTCTTCAAAACGGAACCGGATAGGTTGCTAAAGTCAGTTCTTGACCAGCCAAGTTGTGGTTCGTATGTTGGACTGCGTACTGCCAGCAGTAACAACCATGTTGGTCAGGCCCTGATCCACCGAGAGGCCTGGTCATGGACTGGGTGGCAGGGGCATTGACCCCCGGAGCGCTCACCATAGAGAAATCTGCGAGACACAAGGATGAAACCAGAGCCGAACAATCTACTACTGAACAGATTTTGTAAAATGTCTTATATATCACAGTAGTACTTGGAAGATATACCTACTCCTGCTAATGGTAAACATATTTCGTTTTTTCCAAGTACTAATGTAATAGTGAAAACAACATAAGCCTCGGCTAATTCAACCAGAGATTATCGTAGAGAAAAGTCGAACCCGCAGGGTTGTACGGCCTTGTGCAATGGGCAACAATCAGGGTCGATCCAAGGAAGAGAAGGATAGGTCCTATTTCTTGCATCAAGAGCCCCTCACCGGCGTCAAGAAACCTCCCTCATGCGTTAACCAATCAAGTGTATCTTGGCACACTCTGGGTTCCACATTGTTATGCCCATTACAACATATCAGCCTCATAAAAAAACGTATTGAATCTTCTTTATTTCACAAGTCACAGTATATCTCACTAATTTAAAGTGAAACGTTTCATTCTAGCTGTTCTGGCGTAGATTTTATAATAGTATTAAAAGCGGAAAGGTGGTGTTGAGGGAGGGAGGAGTGGTAGCGAGGTTGGCAACATGGTCCACTGAGTGAGGGTGGCAGCTTTACACTTCCCACACTGCCAGTTATATAACATCCCAGCACTCACTTGAAACTCTCTTAACTCTTGCTACACATTGCTAAAAACATTTTCCTGTTAACAAGGGGCACAGTTTATAGAATTCACGCAGGTGACACTCGTGGTAGGTGTGTGTAGTGGTGGTCTTTCCAAGGGAAGACCTCAGGTCCTGGTGGTAGGCTGTGTAGCACCTGGTGTGTCAGGCAGATGTACAGCGCCTCGCCTACCATGGTGAACAAAGGCTGCCATGAGGGTAGTCCCAGGCGGCTAGCCACCACCCCAGCACAGCACACAGGCGTGCCTGGGTGCTGTGCTGGGCAGCAGTGCTGCTGCTGCTGCTGCTGATGCTGCTGCTGCTGGGCCTATGAGGTCTCTCGCACAGCTTGCATAATAACACCACCCACACCATCCCCCCACCTCTATATTCCCATTTCATTTGGTAATTCTGTGCTGAATGGAGGAAAATCATTATATTATGCATATACAGTAAAGGACTACTGATAGTATAATTATATCTTATATCGATAATTAGAAGTCAATCTCCAAAGCAAATAACAACGAAAAGAAACAAAAACAGTTAAGTAAGATTCTCCCCTACGGCGGCATCGCTACACCAGTGACGGAACATCTCTAAAATGAACTTTACTTATTTCTCAAAACTCTGAGCATATAAGCGTTCTATAGACTACTTTGTTTATGTTACAATATTTCCCCGTGTAGGAATTAATTATTTTGATGTACTGGAGAAGCATTTAAAATAAAATATAGAAACTGTTAATGTTAAAGCCGACTGAGAGGTCTCTTAGTAAACAATAAGCCTGGCTTAGTAGAACACTATTGGCACTATTAATTCCTGAGGGTTGGTAACCCAGTCAATATGGCTTATTTCCTGGTAAGTCCTCCCCCATGATGTTCACAACAGTCTACTAGCGCCCAGATACATATTTACAGCTAGGTAACAGGGGCAATAGGTTTAGACCTGCCTGCCCCTACCTACCTTTCTCCTCGTCTGGGGTTCGACCCCACGTCTCTCTGGTAGTGACCCACGGGGATCATGGAGCTCCAGGTGAACGGGAGGCAATCAAGGAAAGTGAAGGGTAGTTCCCATTCCTTGGATCAAGAGCTCTTGACCAGCATGCAAACACCTCTCTTGAAGGATGTAGTGAACCGAGCACTAACAAGTGTACCACCAGACACGTTTACTATGAAGTTCCACTTATCAAGATGAGGCGAGTTATCGAATATTATATATAATTCCTGAAATAAAGTTGTTACATTATTACAACAGTTTTCAAAGGAATTCACTCAACCTTTTCCCTTGCTGATATTAAGTTACAACTACAATAGGGAGGTTCAGGCCACAACAACCTGACCTGGCTAACTAACCTTCTTGCAACATATGTAATATATATACCAGTAATTTTAATATATAAAACGTAATATCATGTGAAACAAAATACATAAAAGCTTTTCTTTGGTATAATAATTCATAAAGAGTTAAGAATATAGACCAAGTTCCTTAAATCGCTTCCAGCAGTACGATGTAGAAATAGTTCGTCGTGTTCAGTAATGTTTCGTTGGACGTAAAGTATTGAGAAAAACAGTGTTGTTGCTGATAACAGCCTTTTATCAAGTCACTGGTAAATATTAGTAAAATGCAAGAACGTCACATATAATGAGATATTCTATCATATATACTGCAGACTTCAGAAACTATATATGTGAACAAAACTTTAAGAAAAATATATTGAGAAGTCAGCATAAGGCAGAGGTCGGCCTTTTTGGCGCGCATTTTCCTTATTTTTCCCGAGTAGAAACAATTTAATAAACCTTTAAATATTATAATGCAGATATTTTTGGATTGCGATTCAGTAAATATTATAGTTTTCTACACCGAGAGAGGGCGTGTTTGAAGGTCAACAGAACCCTGGGGGGCATACAGTACTTATTGAAGAGTATTACATCCTCAAAGGTGAAATGTTGACTAGAGAATAAAGCTACGGAAATATTTTAGTGGAGAGGTTATATTGGTGCAGTGGACACGCAGTAAGTGCAGTGAACCACACACACTAGAGAAAGCCATGGTGAGCTCCTCTACCCTTGGAGAGCTGCTGGGGTGTCCTGTTTCAGAACCCCTGCAACCTCAGGAAGCCATTGACTTGCCTTTGCTGTCAGGCTCAAATATGTTCATTGTGATAATGCAGCGGAAACCATTCAAGATACTATGGCGAACACCTCTGAACAATAAACCCTCGCCTGTATCAAGGGCTAATCTTGTTTAAGAACTCCCTAATGTCTCTATATACGGAAATTCGTGCAATATAAAAACAAAAATGCAATAAGTTGGAAGAGAATAGAGAAAAAAAAAAATGCGAGTGAGGAGTGAAGCGTGCAGTCCCCACTGCCTCTGGTACAACACTCTGTGTCTCTCTCTAGCACACTCCTCCACCTCCTCCTCCTCTCAACTACCCATCCAACACTAACTACCTCACTCCCTCTAATCCACCTCATTTCGACCGCAACTCTATCTGATTATTATTTTACATTGTGTAGTAATATTTGAATTGCTCACCTGGACATAGACAAGGAACATTTGTTGAGGAAAATACTTGTAAGAGTGTAAGTGCAGCAGCGTAACTTTCAAATGGAGTCTCGGCTGTTTACCAACAGATGGCAGTGATGATGTTTGTAGCTGTAACCAATAGTGGTGTGCAGGAAGCACACTCCTTGCTTTCATATTATTCCTTTTTTTTTAAGTTTACAAGTGTTATTCAGACTCAGAGTTAGGCATGAGTGATGCGGAAGTGACGTGGAAGTTGATAATGAACGAGGAAAAAGAAGAAGAAAGTGTATAAACGGTGATAATAGGGAAAGGGCAGCAGTAAGCCTAACAACCGCGGCCCTCTTGGTTCAATGATTGTGAAGCAACACAAATTTGTATTGGTCTGCGGACGATGGTTTCTCCCTCTAAAAAGAGGCAGATAAAGGGTAGAGTGACTACAGGACATAAAAGTGACCGTAAAGGTAAATATAGTGCGTATCATTGATGTAAATAGTTGTGGTTGATGTTAGAAGTTGGTGGAGGTGGTGTTGGTGAGGATGGTGGTGATAGCGGCGGAGGGTAGCCAGCCAACACCCGCCTCGCTCTCCCTCACAACCAACGCTCTCTGATCAATACCTGCGCCCTTCTCTCACTCCAGGGTTTAACAGGTCATCTTTCCCTCAAGGTGTACGGTGAGGTAGACTGCTGGTCTCCACCTGAGGGGAGGCACCCTGGCACTCTCACTTCCCTCCTCTAGTTAGGGGCAGATGTTGCACATGTTGCACCCTCTAACACCACCGGTGTTGACGCTCCCCCCCACCCACTCCATGCCAGGGTGCCAGGTACCCGGGTCATCTGCAACCCCTAGTCAACCTATTGGACATGTTGCTCTATGTAACTACCAGTATTGAGGCTCCCTTACCCACTCCCCCCCCCCTGCTTACATTTGAGGCACCCTGGCCACCTACACCCTAGTCAGATTAAGGGTACATGTTGCCCTGTGCAACTACCAACATTGAGGATCACTCACCCTGCTTATTTGGGAGGAGCCCTGGTCACCTGCAACCCCTGGTCAGGTTAAGGGTACATGTTGCCCTATTTAACAGTGTTCAGACTTCCCCACCCACCCCTTGCTTGTGTGGGAGGCACCCTGGCAAACTCTGCAATCCCTAATTAGGTTAGGTGCACATGTTGATGCTTTCCCACCCACCCCCTGTATGAGAGGCACCCTGGCAACCTCTGACCCCTAGACAGGTTAGGTGCACAAGTTGAGGCTCTCCCACCTACCTCCTGCCTGTATGAGAGGCAACCTCTAACCCCCTAGTCTCCATGCAATACCACGAGTGTACACAACCCCAATTAGAATGAATTCTCTTTGATTTGTTGGATTTGGTTAAATTTTAATAACATCACTATTATATCAATAATAATCACCATGAGCTTATTGCAGCCAGTGTAGCAGTCTGTAGAAACACCTACATGATGCAACACTGAAGCTTCTCTTATGCTATGATATGTTGATTTTGAGTCAACATTAAATCTTGCTCATAGTTTATTTTATCCTCTGAAAATGTATGTATGTATGTATGTCTATGTATGTAATGTATGTATGTATGTATATGTATGTATGTATATGTATGTATGTATATGTATGTATGTATGTATGTAATGTATGTATGTAATGTATGTTATGTATGTATGTATGTATGTATGTACAGTATTATTACTGTAATTCTGTGTAATATCTAATGGTATTTACTATTATATTATTGGGGGACATGCTAAATCATTTCCTGAGAAATGCAATGTGGTCAGATTTGATCCAAGGAAAGAAAGGGAAGTAATGGAATGTTCTTTGCTTTGTGTTTCAGTATTGGGGGGGGGGGGATATGTTGGCTGCCATATTTCATTATCTAGTTGAAAAATGTTCTCTCCATTTTTTCCAACGGCCAATAGATAAAATTCATAAATAACCTGCACTGTTCATAAAATATTGGTGTCAAGCAATATACATGCACAATAATCACTAAAGTAAAACAAACTGGTTTTTGGGTTACACTATGTTATATATAGTAGTTTGCATACAGTACTGTATAAAAAATTAAATGCATTGAACCTTAGTAAAAAAAATAGTTCTGTGTTAAGTGAGATAAGGTTTATATGGTTACTTGTAACCATAAATGTAAACAAATGTTTTTCCACTCATGTGTGGATATCCTAAAGATTTTTTACAGCGATTCCAATAGGCACATAATTCTTGTAACTATACATTAGTGGTAAATTCTGTAATTCAATTAAGAGTCGACAAACTGAACAATTATATTCTCAAATTGTACATGTTAAAAATTAAATGACATTTCACACATTTTTGAAAGTACCTGGGTATTCAGAACATTTTTGGCAGAGTAAAAATACAACTTACAACCTACTTGGCATTGTATATATAGTTTAAGTAGGACTCTTTGAATGCTCTGTTTAATATACGATCACTAAATTGTCTGAAGATAAGATTATTAAATGTAGTCTAGTGATCATTCTAAGTTGGCTGGGATAATACAAATTTTATTAGTTGATACCAATATGGTGCTTCATGGGCTGGTGGCTAAAGCTCTCACTTCACACAGTGAGGGTAGAAACATTGGGCATGTTTCCTTACACTGCTTGTCTGTGTTCTCCATCAGTGAAATGGGTACCTGTGTGTTTGTCGACTGGTCTGGGTCACATCCTGGGGCGAGCCTAATTTGTCTGAAATGCTCTGCATAAGAAGTGGCTTTCTGTTTAGCATTATGTCATTGATGTCAGCTAGGCCTGTATACCTTGTACATGTACTTGTAGAAATAAAGATATTATTATTATTATAATACGTACCATCAAAATTAGCCTATACCGTTACTTTTACACATCCCTAATTTTAAGAAATCTGTATTTTAAAACAGTAATGTTAATACATGTATGTAGAAGGAGGATATAGCTTATACTGTATAAATCTATTGACAGTTTTAGTACTAATACTGTACGCTATAATTATTTGGGATGGGAAGTTATAAATTTAGAGGTGATGATAGGTGTGTGACGTCCAGTGTCCAGTGGCTCAGTTGGGAGTGTGCTCATCTCGCATAATGAGTGTCTGTAGTTCAATTCCTGGCATAGGTGGAAATGATGGGCATGTTTCTTTACACCTGTTCCTGTTCAGCTGATTGTTGTGGGTCACATCTTGGGGGGGGGGACAAGATTTAGGGACCCCAGTGGAAATAAGACATAGTCCCTGATGATACACTGACTATTGGATTATCCTAGGTGGTTAATCCTTCTGGTTAAAAATCAAAACAAATCTTTTCTTAATGATGATTGAACTCTGGATAAGCAGGCTGTGTTAGAATACTACAGGTATTTAACATTTATAATCGATCTACGTAAATTTACGTAAAGTTAAATTTTTTAAACGTTTTTGAGGCATTTGGAAGATAAGGAACATTTAGAATCTTCTGACAGTTTTGCATTTTTTAACTGTTTATTTGCATAGTTTCTTCCTGAGTTGAACACGTCTGAAATTTGATTCGTATATTATGCCTGTGCATTCTGTTGCAAAAACTGGGTTAATCTTTGTATTGAATCCTGTATATACATTGTATACATATGCACAGTTTATGCTTATTAGTAAATTTAGATGTTTTGTATAATAAATACATTTAATCGAATAGTGGTTGTTTGTGTTATCTGGAAACTGATTAAGTGATCATTCTAATAAAAAAAAATTTGGTGGGTTACTGTTGCATTTTGGGTGGTTTGTTGTTGTAGGTCATCATTTACATCATCTGTAAGCATGGTAATGACAGATTAGAGAGTAGTACAGAGTGAGTAATGTTGTTTGGGATACCTAACATAGCATATTTTTTAAAGAATATCCAGTTTTAGAAATTTTCTTAGGTATGTGCTGGATGCGAGTTGAATTTTAGTTTGCTGTCAAGGTGTATACCTAATTTTTCTGTCATTTTACCTTTCATTGTTTCAATTTAATATTTTTAGCTTTATTCCCAAGGACATTGTAGAAGGTCTTACCTTTATTGAGTCCGAATGTGTTAGTTGTCATCTAAGTAGATAGATATCCTTACGAGGTCGCAGTTAACTGTATTGTGAAAATTGGATCTGGATTTCAGATCAGGGTTGCCAAATGAAATTTTCAAATAGAGCTAGACTGTTGCCTTAAAAAGCACTAAAAACACACTAATTTTCTTTATTTGGGGCTGAAAAATGTGCTAACATTATTCTTTGCAAAAACAACACACTATGCATTGCTCTCACTCGCCAGTATAGAGGCAATTATTCTGGATCTGCTAAATCCCAATCAACCATCTCTTCCTCAGCATGTGTAGATGTTTCTTGTTGTGATTGTTGAGAAGGTTGATATGCATAAAGCCTATTTTTCACATGACTTCATTTGGTAGTTTGAAATCATAGCAGTATTTACGGTTTACCATGCCTTCTCAGTGTGTATTTTATTTTTTATTTTATTATCATACTGGCCGATTCCCACCAAGGCAGGGTGGCCCGAAAAAGAAAAACTTTCACCATCATTCACTCCATCACTGTCTTGCCAGAAGGGTGCTTTACACTACAGTTTTTAAACTGCAACATTAACACCCCTCCTTCAGAGTGCAGGCACTGTACTTCCCATCTCCAGGACTCAAGTCCGGCCTGCCGGTTTCCCTGAACTCCTTCATAAATGTTACTTTGCTCACACTCCAACAGCACGTCAAGTATTAAAAACCATTTGTCTCCATTCACTCCTATCAAACACGCTCACGCATGCCTGCTGTAAGTCCAAGCCCCTCGCACACAAAACCTCCTTTAACCCCTCCCTCCAACCTTTCCTAGGCCGACCCCTATCCCGCCTTCCTTCCACTACAGACTGATACACTCTTGAAGTCACTCTGTTTCGCTCCATTCTCTCTACATGTCCGAACCACCTCAAGAACCCTTCCTCAGCCCTCTGGACAACAGTTTTGGTAATCCCGCACCTCTTCCTAACTTCCAAACTACGAATTCTCTGCATTATATTCACACCACACATTGCCCTCAGACATGACATCTCCACTGCCTCCAGCCTTCTCCTCGCTGCAACATTCATCACCCATGCTTCACACCCATATAGGAGAGTTGGTAAAACTATACTCTAATACATTCCCCTCTTTGCCTCCAAGGACAAAGTTCTTTGTCTCCACAGACTCCTAAGTGCACCACTCACCCTTTTCCCCTCAATTCTATGATTCACCTCATCTTTCATAGACCCATCTGCTGACACGTCCACTCCCAAATATCTGAATACATTCACCTCCTCCATACTCTCTCCCTCCAATCAGTGTGTATATAATAGTCAAAACACCCCTCAAACTCTTGACGCTAAACTTTAGATTTCAACTTTTCATACACTCCATTGTTGATACTGGTCATAACAGAAGCATTATCAGTGCCTAGAGCAATA